AAAAATAAAGGAATGGGATAGCTATAATTGGATAAATTCGGCATATGAAAACACCAAAATCAATGATTTTTTTTTAGTGGCTGTGTGACCTTGTGTCTGACACATTCATATGCAAATGACTAATCTGTGAAACAAACAGGGGCAGAGACAAACCACTCAAATGTTTGGAAACACTCATTGTGTGTCAGATAGCTAGTGATAACACATCCTAACATTGCTTTGTCTTGAGTTTATCTTTGAAACTTATAGGCACACAGATTAAACCTGTGTTGTTGATTTTGGAAAACACTACTGAGGCTGCCTTGCTTCCCTTCAGAACATCTACATTTTAACCAACTTACATGGCATTCTATGTTATGTTGACTTTATCACATGAAAGTTTATAGTGCATTTCATCAATTTATAAATAAATGTGAAAATCAAAATTTTCAACACAAATAATAGTCTCGCTACCTTAAGTTGAGGTAAACACACTAGTAAACATGTTGAAATGCACACAACTTCTAACTAACATTACAATGCTAAATCAATTAAGAAAGACAGTAATTCAAGAATGAATAAAATCAAGCAAGAATAATTATAAGGACCATTTTTAAACATTTAAATGCTACAAACTAACACAAACCTAAAACATGTCAGAGTAAGCCAGCGATAATTTTTAGGCTAGATGAATATGGCAATCCATAGGGAATGAAAGTGACTTCATATACCAATATTAAGAACATCAGTGAAAAGTTTACTGCTACACAATTTAACCACGTATTCTAAAGGACAGTAAAGAGCAATGTACAATGTATGCACAAGATATGTGTTCCAGTAACAATCACAATAGTGATAACATTTAACAACGCAATGCGCATAAATACACAATGGTATATTCTTCTATAGACAGCAGATTGATGAGATAATAGAAAAACAAATTAGTAGCAATTCTTTGGCGAGGGTGACATAAATTTTAATTTGGCTTAGCCAAACATATACATATACCCAGTAGTTGCATAAAGTATGGATATGGATATTTGCTGTTTTTTTCTCTTGTTTCTGTTTGTTGTTGAGTCTGTATCATTTTTTGTCAGAGACAGAGTGAGACACATGTGTAATTAGTTTACTAGTAGTTTAAATGATTGGCAAATGCTATGTCATGTGATATATGAATGCTCAGTGATTGGCAGATGCTGTCTCACATGATGTCTGTCTGTTTGATTCAGACATCACTCTGGTAATGTCTGATACTAGTATGATATGGATCAGATATGAATATAGATCCCTAGTATATATAATCTGTTAAGAGTTCAAATCTTATCTGCCAAAGGAAACAATTTACGCATTATAACCCTGGAAATGATGCAATTACGTTGTCATAGCAAGATTAATATGGATGATGTAGCTGAATGCATTGTAATATTAGCTAAAAAAAAAAAAAGCAGAATCGATAGACTACAGTAATTTTTGTTCGATGTTGTCTCTTTTGCCAGTCAACATGAAATTTTCTTTTTAAATCTATGAAGAGGAAATTTTGTGAATAAAGCACAGCAGATTTAGATCAACACACAACTGATACAACAGTTTCCTATCACTTGATGACCCTACTAAAAAGTTATTGAAACTGTTCTCTAAAAAATCATACAAGCGTAAAGGGGCCTGTGTGATTCAATGACTTTCTTGGGGTTATTTTCAAGGAGAATCATTAAGGAATTTTCACCTGGAAATTAAGTCCAGCATGAAACCCATTCAAAGGTAGTTTACAGCAGCTGCTTGGCAACAAGTGAATTGTTTTCACCTGGCGTAAGCTATCTGGGCATGGGATACTAAGTAGATATGCAGTGAGAAAGATAATTATATTTATAGGTTATCTGTCCTGAAAATCTATATCTGGTATAGATAAAACTTGTAATGATGACACATAGCCAGTATTTATGTAAGCATTAGGAGTTAACCAATAGATTATTTTCACTGATTTTTGATGTATGATATAAAAAAAATGTAATTTTTGCTGGATTTTATTTTCACTGATTCATCCCTTCAGCGAAAACAAATGCCAAGTGAAAATAAAATCATTTGCAGTATACATAAAAGAAATTACGTCTTCCTGAATCTGATAAAATCAGATTAATTGTACAGCAGGAATTTTTTATTTCATGTTAACTGTAATTTTTGTTATAATTTTATTTTATTACATACATGCTTTTACGATTACCAAAACTTAAAAAAACTAAGTGCAAACAAGTCATTGAAAATGACACAGTCCCCGTTAAATGTTTGAAAGTTCTCTTTGTGCTCATCATATCAAAGCGGAGGGGTTGTCGCGAGCGTGTCCTTGAAACTTGAGTTCCAACTGGCGTATACAACAGATTGTTTATTTACATCAAAACACGTGTTCCGTGTAGTAGTAATATGGCCAAAAATAAAAACAGCCATTATTCGGCCATCTTTGATCTGATTATGAAACACACTGATATGTATATGATGTATGTGCCAAATTCGAATGAAAATGGTACATAAATTGTGGAAATATAGTAATAAGGCCAAAAAGTCAGATGGCTGTCAATCGACCATCCTTGACTAGATTTTGAAACAAATTGTCATGGACATGCATCCTAACATGTATAAAGTACATGTATGTGCCAAATTTGAATGAAAACTGACAAGATACCGCATAAAATCTTTGATCCAATTGCGAAATAAATTGCCATGGACATGTATCATAACATGAATAATCTATGTACCAAGTTTGAATGACAACTGACAAAGCATGTCCAAAATACAACATTTTACAAAAAACAAGATTGCTACCAGTCAGCCATTTTGAATCGAATCTCTAAACCACTGCATGTGCATATGTTCCACATAAGGTACTAGGTACATGCAAAGAATGAACGAAATCGGTCCACAGGATTCTGAAATATGACTCTGAACAGACTGACGCACGGAGGGATGGACGGACAGACTCAGGAACTCACGAACGGTCAGGGACTTGTATCCTAACATGTATGATCTATGTACTAAATTTGAATAAAAACTGACAAAGCATGACCAAAATACAACATTTTCAAAAAACAAGATGTCTGCCAGTCGGCCATCTTTGATCCAATTGTGAAACAAGTCATCATGGACATGTATCCTAACATGTATAATCTATGTACCAAGTTTGAATGAAAACTGACAAAGCATGTCCAAAATACAACATTTTCAAAAAACAAGATGGCTGCCAGTCGGCCATTTTGAATCGAATCGCTAAACCACTGCATGTGCATATGTCCCACATAAAGTACTAGGCACATGCAAAGAATGAACAGAATCGGCCCAAAGGATTCTCAGATATGACTCCGGACGGACGCACGGACACACAGACCGGATGGACGGAGACCGAATTATAAGTCCCCGTTTTCAGACTTCTTCCGAACGGGGACTAATAATAGTCATCAAATTATGGAATTTTTAACAAATTATTAAATATTCTTTTGGAGAGAAAAAAATTCTATTCT